CCCCCCCCTACCTCCCCACATCCCCAAAAGTTTCTCAGCGGATTTGGGCTGTACTCGGCAAGCGCAGTACAGCCCCTAACTCAGATTTGAAAAACAGTCAGTGGATGGCTGTTTTCTGACTGGTCGGCAGACCGCCAACCGGTAGGCCCTACTGGTCGGCTGCAAAACGGTCGGCGGTCGGCAGGCATGCAACCCTGAAGGGCACATTGAAACCATTCAATTTCTCATTCTTCTTTTAACTCCCCCTACACTGTGCCTCTCACGTACAAGGCTCGCCATGTTGATGAAGTTCAAAGCGAGCTGCCCCCATCCCCGTGTGCCATGACGGCCCACTTGTATGCTGTGAGAAAGAGGCAGAGCATAGGGGGAGGGGATAAACACAGGGAAGAGAGATGGAGAGAAGACAAACAAAGAATGATAAAGGGAAAGGGGGGGAACGTACGGAGTGTGGAGTGAAGATGAAGGCAACAGAGGATAAGAAAAGGCTCAAGAATGAGTTTGTCCTTGACGACAGAGAGGACATACATCGTAAGGATGAGGTGGATGGGCACATGGAAGACCTGGCGGAGCATTCTCGGTACAACAATTGCCACGACGGCTGGCATTGAGCATGCCCACCATACAACCCCAACAAATGGCATGTCGATTGCAGGCCAAAATGAAGGAAGAACTGTCAAGACAAAAGACCATGCATTCCGTATAGCGCTTGTGGCCACACAATGGACATATAGTGTCCGGATGCGGAGGGTGCCTGCAGTCAGGAACGGACGGACAGTCCTCTGCACACATGGATGCAGAAACCATGTCATTGTAGTGATTGTGAGAGAGACGATGCCGGCTACAGCCCAGTGTAACAGTGTCTGTAGCTGCACAAAGGAGAAGGTCGCAGAGTGTTAGTACCTTGTCTTGCTACAGCACGGGGCCAGAGGAATGATCTTCATCATAAAAGAGATTGCGGACAATTTGGTGTGGCAAGAAAACAACATCATTATGTAAGGTATCAGTAACATTGGTCATGGCATGGACCATGATGTCGTTGTCCCACAACTCCCTGTGGTCAGAGGTATGTACAATGGCCATGTAATGGCCAGGGCTGTGCACAATGCAGGCAGAGATGTAGGATGGAGAATTAAACCACTCACCTGCTCGAGGGTTGCGTAGCTGAAGTTGGCAATCCGCCGGTCCCTCATTACTACTTGTAGGGCAGCAATGGTAAACCCTCTTTCCTCGTATAATTCCAACCCCTTGGCTGTAGGCGGGGGAGATCAACATCAAGCTAAGGGCGATTGCAAGGAAGTCTGATGGTGTATAAAACGGGCGGTGGAGAATCTGAAGACACATGTTAGTTGCAGTCAGACCACGGAGATTGGTGAGGATCTCAGGCTCGTGTGCCGGATGGTGGCCAGGAATTTTCAGATCACCCAGTTGGTGTCTGGGTTGCTTGCTGGTCGGTCATTTGCAGATCACCCATGTGGTCTGCGTGTGGTGACGCACAAACTTGTCGTTCATCCAAACGATTCTGGTCAGCCATAGATATATATATTGTCACATAAGCAATTGAAGACAGAGACAAGCATAGGTTCACAAAGAGACGATACACACTGACAATACATGCAGATGGAACCAAACATAAAATTGTTGCACACACCACCTGGGTTATAACCATAACAAGACCTGTGCATTTAGCTTTGATCAAAACACACTGGTTGATTCAAGCATCCACACCCACACACCCAAGCCATGATGACCTGCCAAACCCGCCTGAAACAAACCAAATATCATTTGACATGATTCTATCAGAAGAGATATAGCCTCAATCAAAACACGATGGCTGATTCAAGCACCCACACCCACAAACCTGACCGACAATGACCTGCCAAACCTGACCAACAATAACCTGCCAAACCTGCCTGTAACAACTCAAACACCTTTCGACACAATCCCAATCATACAGACTGAAATCCAAACCTCACCTCAGAGAGATAGTATTTTGCCCCCTTCTACTCAATCTGTTCGAGCCTTCCATTTTTCCTCTTCCCTTAACTTCTTTCCTTAAAGGCTACAATCATTGTGCAATATCTCCTCTTGTTCCATGGTTGCAGCCTGCCCCTAACCATTTTTGGTCGCAATCAACAGGCTAAAGCAAGCTGGCGCTGACCAGGTCCAAATCAGACAAATAACATAGAACACTGACATGAAAAATAATGTTGACAAACTTCAAAACAACAAAAAAGGAAGAAGCAGAGCTGGAGCTTAGACATTTGGGAGGGACAACAGCATGACAAAAGTGATAAGTGCATTGCTGATTGACCTTGGATATAAATCAAGATAGAAGTACCCAAGCGGCTCTTCTGTCTCCAAGTCCTTCACCGCAAATAACTGGACATCCGCATGCCACGTATGTGGGTCTGGGACTTCGGTAAATTTCAACCCTGCAGTGATGCAGTAATTCGGCAAACACGAATTCATCTTAGATATGACAGCACGGCTCTGTCTTATTGGCTTTTCTGAAGTTTTTCACTAGCCTTGTCCCACTTTATTTTGTTCTCTTTTCCTTTCATTTGCTGTGTGTCTTCACACAAGTACCAAATCTCGCAGTCCACATGTGATGGCAGTGATCACTCAAATGCCATACTCTGCAATAAACATTCTGTAAGAATGGTTTACTTCTTAGTGGAACATTCTGTAGGATGGTTTACTTCTTGAAAAAAAAAAAAAAAAAAGAGCCACAAGGCTCTGGCTGCTTATCCATTCAGGGGAACATCAGTCCGGTTCGATTCCCCCTGCAAGTCACGAAGGTGCACACCTTACTCACCCAAAGCTCTCCCCATTATGGCTGGGAGGCCCTAGTGGACGCCATGGATTTCTTCCTGTGGGAAGGATGTACCACCCCTCACCCCTGCCTAAGTTAGCCTCACCGACATAGACCCAATATAGACTCTGCTACTTGTCGCTGGGTGCCTAAACCAGCACCACACTGTGCTGTTCCCCTGGGATACCCCGGGGGGGTATCTGCACGTACCACGATGGATCGATGTTCCGCAGCCAGACGGTTGGACTCCCGCACTTGCCTCGCCATACTGGGGGAGTGAACACTCTCAGTCCGATGCTATACTGGCCCCTGACATTGCTGTCCAGTTGGCTTGTGGTCGCGTCTCGCTGCTGAGATTCTCGGGTGAGTCTATCCACGGTCTCTTACCGCTTATCTGGCTCTTGTTTGATCTGCCTCAGGCCTTCTGGCAATCTGCCTGGTATTCTGTGTCTAACAGAGTCTTTAGGTTCTCCCAGGCCCTCTCAGGCTCTCTCAGTATCAACCTCCTGTGCGTTGATAGTCTCCTCGCATCTTCTTTTCCAGATTATCCAGAGCGTGAAAGGCTGGAGCTTTCTGAAGAGCCTCTGCACCCACTTCTCCTGTTGGCTTGGGTGCTGAAAGCCAGTGAGGAGAATGAGGGTGTCCCCTGTGTAGTTCGGTGCCAGTAAGCCTGTCATCAGAGCTCCTCGCATAGTGCGACAACTGCTGTGCCTTGGGGGAGGATGCTTTACTTCTCTTTTTTGTTTTCTTTTCCTTTTTTTTTTAATTTAAGGGTGGTTCACTTCTTAGTAAAGACCTGACTGTTAATCTTTCCAAAGGGAAGCAATCAATGCCGTCGTGATTGATCAGGAGATAGCAGATTCAGTTCTCGTGAAAAACAGGGGTGGCAGAGTTGTAAATCCTCCCAATCAGGTATTAATCAATGCCGCTGTCTCAGGATCTCTTGAGAATAATGGGTAGAAGAGTTGAGTGAATACATCTGATGTAAAGGAGCCCGAAGCCAGTTTCTCGTGTACAAATGCAAGTTAATAAGTCCCAAGGCCAATGTCCGTGGGCAACGACTGTGGTCGAACAGGCGACCATGGTACTATGTGGGCTGGGTGGTATTGTATGGCCCACATCATGTCTTTCAGTTTGGATGGCACAATTGGACCGGGTGGCATCATGCTCGGTGCACTGTACTATGGGACCAAATGGTTCGAAGACATACACTCCCCACCAAAATAGAAAAAACACATACATCGCCCTCCCCCAAGAAAAAAACGCAGCGCTCACCACAGCCGGGCAGTACCATGTCAGCTGAGTGTTGTTATGTGGCGTGGGCGATACTGCCAGCTTGTAGAACATGAGGTGGGGCATGCCATGTCCACAGGGCTGTACTATGTGGATAAGTGATATTATGCAGCATGGGTAATACCAAGTGGGTCGGGTGGCAGTAGAAGGTTGCTCTTTCTTTTCTTTTTCTTTTTTTCTTTTTTTTTCCCTTTTATTGAAAAGCCCAGGTTGTTGTCGAGGCTGAATTCCAGACATATGATGTTTGCAAGCATCAGTCAGCCATTGGTTATCCTGACAATTGTTATCTTCGTGAGGCTACCTCCCAACCCATCCTCTAATCAATGCTCCTAGCGCATGCCCCATCCCCACTATCCTACCTCAGTGTGAATCACTCAGGACTATCGTCCTACCATCTCGGAGGGTGACTTGGACCGAATCGCAGGTATATAAGTGGGCCCAATGATACTGTGGGTTGGGTGGTACCACGTGGTGCGAGTCATAGTTATGTAGGTGGGCTGGGTGATACACATGACCAAAGGACTCCCATGCAAAAGCACAAAAAAAACAAAAAAAAGGCAAGCCCATGTGACCAAATGGTGCACCCGTCTGCTCTTCCGAAGGAGAGAAGTAAGGGCACCCTCACACTGGGACTTCTTTACTTATTTATGGACATGGTCCCTGTCAAATACATACAGATACGACGGTGAATGCAGCCCGATACATTAAGACAGACCTAGTCTAAGTGTGCCGTAAGGCCCAAGTATCTTCTTCTGATCCAAACGGTCCTGACCTGCTCGCCAACATTCCAGTGTCTTCTTTCAATGCAAACACGACTGCCATGTACTTGATTTCAAAAACATCTGGCTGAAAACTACGAAAACGGTCGCCAAGCATCTTCTTTTTGTCCAAGCTATGTCACTCAACATGCATGACAAACGGAGGAACGGAATCACACCGCACAGAGGCTGCGTGATCCTAGCTCCTCCCCAAAAGCAAAAAATGAAACACAAAATGATAAAGCCGAGGAGTCATTTAAAAAAAGAACACGCCACAAGGAGCTTGCGATTCGAGCTTCTGTTTCTTTTTTCCTTTTTTACTATTCGAGTTTCTCACCTCTGCGCTGCAAATAAAAAACGAAACAAAAACTGAACGCTGCAAAAGAAAAATGAAACAAAAGCTGAAAGTAATAACAAGAATAGCGAGCCCAATAGCAGATTCTGCAGCAGCTACAGTCAATACTAATAACATTAACCTATATTTGTATCAAGTACTTTCATTTGATTTGTTGTGTAATTGTAATATCACCACCATCCCTGATAATCGGAATTGTAATTAGTACGAGTAAGCTTCACACCTTATTCAAATGATGGTCTTTCACTTTCTACGATAATGTTTTTCAAGAGGGGTCTCCCGCTATGCTTTCAGCGGTTCTCCCATACCAACATAGCTACCCAGCAATGCGACTGGCATTATAACCGGTCCACCATAGGTTGACCGATCCCAGTCCTCTCGTAGGGATGGCTTCTCTCAGTTCTCTTCAAACCACCAATGGTAGATAGGAACCGAACTGTCTCACAGCAATCTAATTGTTAAGTTGGCCACTACCCCGTTCGAGCCTGTTGTTGCTCAGTATTCACACACTAGTAGTACTATTATGTACCTCTACTCTACCTTCAACTTGTTTCAAGGCGACTATATAACTGAATGCCGGTGTCAGAGCAGAAACACTTACAAGGGGATCTGCTCGGGTTTTTTTATGCTCGAAGTTGTCCGACTTTTTTGTTGAATTGAGGGACTTGATGAGACGGACGCCCGCCAGAAGTTTGTTCAGACTAGCCTATGACGGAGAGACAAACATTTTTTGAACTTTAGTTCGGACGTCTGTGGCATCTGGCAATTTTTTGCAGGGCCACAGAGGAGAGTGGACATGCAAATATTAGAACTAGACCTATACTACCTAAAAGGATGACAGCTGCGCGATTCAAGGCCTATGTAGGATAAAAAGAGTAGTCGTGGCCGAGGCTCGCGCGTATGGCTTATGTTTTTCCTACGAACCCTTTGGGGTCAGGTACCGTACTCACGGCTTAAAGGCTGGCTCATAGTGCCGCCCAGCTGAAACGCCTGCCGGGCCCAGCTGAAACGCCTGCCGGGCAAATGGCAGGGCGACAGGCTAAAAAGATAGGGCACGTGGGGCCTGCCTAGCAGCTCTTCAAATAGAAGAGTTGTGGGCCTAACGTCCATGCCTAGGAGCTAGCTGGGCAACCTACTGGGCAGCAGCTCTTCAAATAGAAGAGTTTGGGCCTAACTTCCATGCCTAGGAGCTAGCCCAGTAGGTTACAACATCAAGCTTTCACCCAGCAGGTTGGGATCGCGCCCGACGGCACCCTACTGTGCTGGCTCCTTTTGGAGTAGCCCGCTTGGTGAGGGCAGTTGGGCGCGACCGATTTCGGTCGTGCGATCTTCGAGATCGCGCGGCTGAAATCAGCCGCGCCAAGATTGACATGACCCTGTGCGAGGATGACACGCATAAATCGTGAAACGGTCCAAGTTTTTTCGATCCGCGATGGGGATCGAACTGGGGTCTGTATGTCAACACTTCGTGAGGGTGTCCTGCGATGTGCCCGTTTGCCAAAGCCAACGGGGTAAACGGAAAAAAAAAAACAAAAAAAATCTAAAAGGAACTGAAAACGGAACTGCGAGATGGCGGACATCAAAGTGACAGGGCATCTGCCCTGATGAGACAAGTGTGCTCCCCGTTTTCATAGGGCAACAAGTAAGTTTGTCGTTTCTTCTTTTTTAGTTTCTTATATTTGTTTTTATTTTTATTTGTCTTTTAGATTTTCTTTTAGATTCTTTAAAGATTTCTCTTCTTAGATTTTTTTTTTTTTTATCCCTTCTCGTTCCCCCTTCTGACAACGACTTTCATCATGCACCCGTTCGCTTTTTGAAACAGGCATCATGAGTTTTGGACATCCGAACCTGGTGCTTTTGGCGCCCAAGTACAGACGCGCATGGGAGAGGGGGGGAGGAAAACTCGATGAGCATGGCCTATCGATCCTTCAGTGTTTCAGGACTTGAAGCTAGAGGTGTCGGTAAAGTTACCGCAGGGGTAACTGGCTTGTAGTAGCCAAGCGTCCATAGCGACGTCGCTTTGATCCTTCGATGTCGGCTCTTCCTACTGTTGTGTACACCTGCATCGGGCGCTTTCGTTGCGCCGGATACAGGCGCACGGCCAAGGGAATGGACTTGGAAGAAGAGGCATGGAAATGACTGCGCCTGTTCATTCTAGACAACGGGCAGCAACAGGGGAATGAAGACCCTGTTGAGTTTGGCTCTAGTTCGACC